GCCCCCTCCTCGTAGGTGCGGCAGCAGCGCACCATCATGCCCACCTGCAGCCGGGGCAGAGCGCACGTGAGTCCCGCACAGGGGAGCAGCGCGAGAGAACAATCCGGCCTGTGTGTGCGTGCACGCCCAAACTCCCGAGCGGGGTGCCAGCGCGCCCGTGCCCCTTCTCTGTTTTGTCTCTGCTGAGTGCACGTGCCCTGGAGTAAACCAACATGACAAGGGAGACTGCTGCCTCTGGTTGGGTGGGGCTCAGCTCCAGCCAAAAGCACAGGAGCCCTCAAGCAGGGGCTTCACTCCCAGGGGCGCTCCGACCACACAGGAGAGGGCTCAGACACACCAGCTCCTCGGACCAAGCGACTCGCCTCCTCGCAAGAAGCCAACCGAACTTCCTGGCCAGCTCTACGAGCCACAGAACAACATCATTCCGGAAGTTGACGAAGGCCCCCATGCACTGGGCACTTACCCTGCCATTCCTGTAAAAGCTGTATAGACAGTGTGAACATGAACAGGGCTGGTAAGCTTCTCACAGAAGAGAACCCCAGCTAGTCGATTCGGAGGAGGACAGAGATGATCGCCACCACACGGACCCTAATGACAGGTCCAAGGCCACCAGAGCTGGGGTAAGCGATAATGGAGAGCCCGCCAGGGGAGGATGCGGCAGCCAACGGGCCCAGCCGGCACTGCGTGGCATCTGCACAGCCTCCTTGCGAGACTCGGCTCAAGCCCCCACTTCCAGCCACCCCCGCCCGCACTGAAGCAGCAGGAACAGAGGCCAAAGCCAGCCCCACACAGGGAGCTCGGCACATTCGGAACGTGAACGACAACTCCGCTGTCCCAGAGGACGGCGGTCCAGCCTGCTAAGAGCGAGCCCGGGGAGGGCTGTCAGGTACTCAGTGTGCCTCCTGAACTCGTGTGTTGAAGCCCGAACCTCCAGTGTGGCCATGTCAGGAGCCAGGGCCACAAAGGCAATAAGAGGTTAAAGGACCCAGGATCAGAGTCCTTGTGAGGAGAGACACAGTGGGTAGGCACACTGCACAGAGAGCCAGATCCCAGAAGGCTGACCAGGGTTTGAATCCCGGCCTCGGTGGCATAAAACACACATTGGAGGGGCATAAGCACGTGCCCAGATGCTACTGGATGGAGGGATGGAGGAAGACGGAGTGTGGTGGCCACACCCCTTTGGGGGTGCTACCTCCTCCCCTCTCTAGCAAGAGCACACGCCTTCTGGCATTAAAAAAAGAAGAGACAGCAAGCCACTGGGACCCTTTGCTTGCTGCGGCTCCCCAGCCCACACGTGATCACGGGGAGAGGGAACTGTCTGTCTACAGGCCAGAAGGCAGCCCTCAGCAGGAGCCAAGCAGGCCCCACCTCGATCCCGGATTCGCAGCCCCAGTCCACAGGTGTCGCAGGGGACGGACCCGTGTGGAAGCCCCAGTCTGTGGTTTTGTGTTGTATCTGCCGGAGCGGGCCAGACAGGGAAGCTGCTCACCCCGGACTCCCAGCTCCAGCCCTGGCCTGCGGTACTGTGGCATTTCTGCCAGAGCGGGCCAGACAGGGAAGCTGCTCACCCCAGACTCCCAGCCCCAGCCCTGGCCTGCGGTACTGTGGCATTTCTGCCAGAGCGGGCCAGATGGGGAAGCTGCTCTTGGACAGAGACGTCAGAGTTTCCAGTGCAGAACGTACGATGTCTGAATCCAAATTCAGAAAGCTAAGCACGAAAAAGCCACTGAGAAGCTGGGAGGTCCCGAGCCAGTGCTGGCCATGAGACAGTATCAAGGGACGGTGTGCTGTTGGGTAACGCTGGGAACCAAAGGTCATTACGCCAGAGATAAAGCCCTCGCCTGCTACAACACACAGGTCCACTGGTGAAATGCCACCATTTCTGAAATTTCCTCTAAAATACACTACAACAAGAGAATTAGAACAAGGAAAGAAAGGACTAAGACAGATGAAATAATACATGAAACACAACGAGATAAAAGAAAAGTCGGATGGCAAAAGGAAAACAAGCCAAATACAGAGTCCCCGGACAGGGCTAAGGGAGAGAGGCCCCCTGCGGGCCTGCCCCCTCCACCCCGTCCTCTGGTCACCCCTGTGCAGCAGTGATGGCCTCCAGCCGCCACCTGTCCTGCTGAGCTGCCCTCGCACCACGCACGGCCCACACGGCACCTTCTCCACGCAGCCCGCCGCCAGTTCCCAGCACAGAGACATACTCCCACCCCTCCCAAGTCTGCTCCTCAGCCCTAGTTCCACGCCGCCTGGTGGACGCAGAGGGTGGGCAGCCCCAAGGCCACGGCTTGTCTGGCGGTCCCCGGCACAGGGCAGGCGTCTGAGCGAGGGCTGGCGCAGCCTGGAGCCCACTGACCTGGGTGTTCTCTCGCACGTACACCGCGTAGTCATCGTTGCTCAGGAAGTCGGCTCGCTTCTTGTACGTCTGGCTCTCCGTCACAACAGCACCGGCGGGCTGTGACTGCCAAAGACACACGCTCACTACGGGGCACCAGGGAAACCTCCTCAGGGACTGTGACTGCCAAAGACACACGCTCACTACGGGGCACCAGGGAAACCTCCTCGGGGGCTGTGAGCGTCAAAGACACGCACTCACTACGGGCACCAGGGAAACCTCCTCGGGGACTGTGACTGTCAAAGACACATGCTCACTACGGGCACCAGGGAAACCTCCTCGGGGGCTGTGAGCGCGATCCCACTAACAGGTGAGGGGAGAGACTCCACCTTCCCCGTGAAAATCTTCACTTAAAAAAGGGGACTGGCTGGCCTGTGGCCTGGTGGGTGGGGCGGCTGGACCCCGCGTGGCCGACACTGCAGCTCAAGCCCTGGCCTGGGCTGAGCAGCAATGCCAGCTGTGTGCACGTTGTGTCCGAAGTCCTGATGGGAGGGAGGCAGCGGAGGGGCTGTGCAGGACCGTGCCCCATGGGGTGCCTGCTCTGAATCCCCAGCTCCCAGGCCAGTATGCGCACTCTGGCAATTAGGAGGGAAGGGAGCAATCAGCAGCACCACAGCAAGCAGAAATGAATCCCGAAAGCTGCCAGGACAGGAAATGCCTGGGGCACCTCAGAGCCAGTCCTTGGGAACAACTTAGGAGGCCGGCATCAGCCCGCCGTTCAAATTCTGACTCAGGGAAGTGCTGTTGACGGCCTGTGGGAAAGCCGGGCTGTGAAAACCCGTCCATGGCAGCAGCGAGGCAGACAGCCCCAGCCCGCCCCGGAGAACTGCAGGTAAGTCTCACGGTTAGTCCTTCTGGGACGGCGCAGACGGTGCCCCGGGCCTCGGGCCCACAGCCGCGCAAGGCACTGACCACAGGGTAGGCTGCGTCGTCCACGTCCTCCACTGCCTCCTCGTCCGAGTACTCGTCAGACACCGTGTCTGCATCCGAGAGCTCCGTGACCTGGACGTCGGAGTGGTCCAGCAGCCAGCCGACCAGCGCCTCCACCCCTGAGGGCAAGTACACACAGAGCCCGCCAGCCACATGAGAGCCCGCAGCTGGACGCAGCCGCCCCCGGCACCCCGCCAGGCCGAGCCTTACCGGGCAGGCCGGACGCGTTCCCGGAGGCCCCAGAGAGTGACTTCAACGCGAACTCGATGTTCCTCCTGGGAAAGCCCATCTCCATGAGCTGCGCCACGATGGGCAGGGCGGGCACGGGCGACTTCCGGCGCCGCTTCAC